AATGTTTGTCTTGTGGCTCACACATCTGCTGGCTGAGGTACTGCAGAGTATCTAACCATCTTTCTTTCTCTCTCTTATTTTCCCTATGGCACACACGCTGGCCCACACACACAGACGTGTTTGGTGAGACACATCAGCGACATCTGCTCGGCACACGTCGCCCAGGCCAGGTCCTTTCGCTTTGGGCCTAGTGGCACATGTGCAACCCTGACAAGCATTTCCCCCAAACACGCTGCCTGTGGCTACGTGAAATCGATCTGTCATTGCTGATGGCTCACAAGTTCTAATTTAATCTATAAACATTATGGAAAGCTAGCAAATATTTTCCCAACTTTGTGTAGCTACAAGTTGTCAGTGACTGTTAACCAACATTTCCACTGAAACTTAATTAGCAAAATGTATCAGTGCAGAGAAGCGCGACACAAAGTGGCAGACTCGACCTAAGTGCGAAGTTATTTAAAAGTGTTGAAAGGAAGTACAAAAAAACCCACTAGCTGTTAGCCAATGTGCTAACGGCACAGGTGAACCAGAGAATGCTGTTCTCAGAAGCTAGTCCATACACCCACATATCCGTACGCCGCCAGAGATTAGTTCACACGTCAAGGGGCGCAAAAGAAAACCTCATTAAAACTCTTACACCTTTCACAGTGACTGCACAATTCTCATGTGTTGCTAGCTAACTCACACCTCACCTTCTCATCCTCTGAGAGAAAAGCTGCCTCAGAGCTGCGTTCTGTTACTCAAGGCTTAAAAACTCAAGTGCTTGTGGACACCAGCTGTATAGTGGCAGCGTCTGATGCGTTTGATTCTCCAGGTGCTGCCACGAGCACCGTATCAGCAGGAAGTAGCACAGAATGCTAAGCTGTCTTTGTGCGCAATAGACAAAGGTGTGAACACCAATTCCTGTGATAGCCTGATCTTTGCCTCGAGTGTGTCGAGAGACACTCATGGTTTGGACTCCTGTAGTTACAAAGTGTTGTCGTTGGCACTTGAGGTGCTCTCACCTAAAGGAGAGATGCTAGCAAAGTGCTTACGGTTATCCTCTGTCTTAAGAAGAAGTGCGTCAGAGAGAAGATGAACTCAGTCACTTGGGGAAACAAGTGAGTCATCTCACTGTGCCAGACAGATTCAAATGAAAAGGGAAAACTTTCTGGCTGTTCAAAGCACTATTTGCTGGTTGATATTTAAATGAGGTGAAGTGATGTTATTCCCAAAGAGACTTAATAATGTCATATTTGTTTCTCTAAACAGCATGTGTCTGGCAACTGTATAAAATATTGCAGATAAGTGCAGACAGATAGTTATATACACAGCTACACCTTTGAAGACGGACAGTAACACACACACACACACACCATTTACACTTAGCCATTGCATGTGTTTTGTATCTGGTTTGTATCCTGATAAGATCTGAACCACATTCATCCTAATGTAATGTGTGTCTCAGGCAGACTGAAATCTCTTAGCTGTATCTTGTGCTAATATGCTAATCATATCATTACATTTGAACACCAACTTCTAGTATTGTTCGATTTAGTTCTTTTATGAATAAGATGGCTGCTGCATCAGCCTGATACTCAACAGCCATGAAATGACCAAGTGTAAACAGGGTCAACGAGTGGCCTTAGGTGCTTCTTGGGATGTGAAAGCATCTTTGGTAGCAATAATAAATGCATTTTATAGGTTCTGATGGTTTTAGTGAGGGAAATAAAACTGACCCAGCACAACAGATCTTTGGTTCAAGCCTTTCTTCTGCAAAATACAAATGACTGGTAAGGGTTCAAAGATGCATTCCAAAATCTTTCTTCTGCAAAATACAAAACACTGCTTCTCTTATGTTCATTGATTTCATATACCTCCATATGGCCACACACACACTCCACAACTCTTAGTAAGACTTTGTCGTGGGTTGTGGATCGTCTGCGTTGTTCCCTCGAGGCGGTGAAGGGATGTGATGTGGAATTGTACCGCAGGGCCAGAGCTGAGCTTTAACTGATTCAACATGATGTTCTGTTTGATCTTTTCCAGACCTCCGCTTTAACCTCTGTGAAACTGCTACTAACTGTGCATACTGAACACACACACACACACACACACACACACACCCCTTAGCACAGGGCTCAGGACAAAAGCATCTGCTTTTCTGTCTCGTACTGTTTATTATTATGCATGCTTATAGCCTAGAGCAAATTTGGGAGTGTGTGTGTGTGTGTGTGTGTGTGATTTCTAAAGAATCTCTTTAGAAATGTTCCTGAATTAGGCTTGCTGTAGACATTGGAATGATTATGAGTACTCAGATTATCACGTAAAAAGTAAGGTCTTATAAATATTATAATTATAAATATTCTATTCTTAGAATTTTACCTGTTAATGTATAATCATTTCTTAATCATTGTTATTTAATTTATTAAATGCCTAACACATATCAAACACCTGTTGCCTGTTTACTCATTAAAAATTAAAGAGCACATAAATAGCCTTACATTGTAGGACACAAGCAATATTAACAGCTGGTTAACTAATTACTCATGTTATTATTATTATTATTATTATTATTATTATTATTATTATTGTTGTTGTTTTAATGGTCAACAGTCCTCAAGTGTTTGTAGCTGATAGCAACTAATAATCCACTCATCATCATGGCCAAAAAAGTGCAATCACTCTTGAAAAATGTGCTTAATGCACCATCAGCGATGTCCCTAATAGAGCAAGTACATTAATTAATTAATTACTGTGTTTTCTCTCTCTCACACACACATACACACACATTATATATATATATATATTTTTTTTTCTCTGAAGTAAGGCAAATCATTTTATCCATTTTTCACCTCTGTATCATGTTGTATATCAGGTTTGATATTCGGTCCCAAATACGGTGACCACACAAGAAAAATAAAGTGAATGAATTATTTGATAGGATAGTTTTGGTTATTAGGAATTTTGCAGAATTTTGTAATCATTTGCTCCTTACTCTGCACTGAGTATTCACATTATTTTCTCTGGCATATGGCATGTTTTAGAGTCTACTGTACATTTTCATTGTTTTGATCCCTGTTTTCGTTTTGATAACCAACCAGTAGATTCATCTGATGATTCACTCACTCACTTAATCACTTGCTCACTCACCCACATCGGTCCTGATCAAAGGGCCTCCATCCAGGAAAAAAGCGTTCACCAGTGAACTGTTGCATGAGCACAAATAAAAGCTTGTACATGGCCTTTGTAGTTGATTTTACATATGAGAGCATTTTCACATTATTGTGTTTAATAACTCCAAACTTTGAACATAATATTAAATGCACAAACTATTTATTTATTTATTTATTTATTTATTAAAAGGGGCTCCTTGGTGTGATTGTGTGACATTGATTTCACATGCAGCTCAATTTCTTCTGCATTGTGTCTGTGTGTTAAAGAGAGAAAGATTTAGAGAAAGATTGAGCTCAGTGATGGTAGCTGGGAGGAAATAGAAGAATAATTTCATTTTGAAACGCTCTCCTCCGTACAATCAATGTACAATCGGTCAGGAGAACCAGAGTATGTTATACACACACAGTATGTTATACACATGCCTTTGTGAATGTTGTGTCGTGTCATGTCTAACCGTGTGTGTGTTTTGTTTTTACCAAAAGAGGTAGGTGTCTCTAAAGTTCTAAAATCACCTGTGTGTTATTCACCCATTATAATGCATTAGGTTGGCATTTTGTGAGTGCGTGTGTGCATGTGTGTGCTTGTGTGTGTGTGAGTGTGTGTTTTACAAGCCCTCACATCCTGCTTAATTCACAGCACACCTGGCGACACATTTTCCCTCATTTGTTCCTCTGCTCCATCGTTTCTTATGTAGACATCTCCGCTCCATCCATCCCTGCTCTGTGTGCCATCTGAAATTACACAGGTCACGGGAGGAGGAGAGGAGAGACAGCCAGTGCCATAAATACTGAAGAGGGAGGATTGTGAGACCTGAAGGGGTGAGTGTGTGTGTGTGTGTGTGTGTGTGTATGTGTTTCTCAGTGTGTCTGTGTGTGTAAGGTGAGAGAGGTAGACGCCTGGTAAGGTTTGAATTACCATACGTCTCGGTCTGAAGGATATAGACCTGCCAATGTTAGCTTGAATCACACTCGCTCATCAGCAGCAGTGGATAACAGTGAAATATCCCTAGAAATCCATCATCCGTCTTCCATATGATCATTTATCTTTGTTTTTGCCTGTGGGGGTTCCTTGAGTTACACTGAGCCTTGAGGATATTTTAAACCTCTTTTTCTCTCTTTCACTGTAGTGTCTTAGAATATAAGTTATAAGATGGTTAACTTGCAGCAATTAAACCAGTGTTTAATTACTTCATCATCCAATTCTCCACAAGTCTTTGACAGGTAGGTAAAAACCTTTAATCTTCTGAAAAATGACCTGTGTTTTGCATTTTTCTGCATACCAGGTCATAACAAGAAATGAGCTAAACAATAGACTGATAGCAACTTCAGTCAGAAAGGAAGTGGCCTGTGTTTACCTTCCTCAGTAATGCCCTCTTCCTGCTTTTATGTCACTGGGCCATTTCAGACAGCCATTGTTCAATGGCATGGGACAGCTGTTGGTGTGGTCTCTCAGGTTGCCAGGCTTGAAGCTGGCCATGAAAGTGAGCAATCATCTAACACATAGATCTCTAGAATGCAACACCTGTAGAAACAATCACCATGCAGCAATCAGTCACCAATTAGATGATTGAGAACTTCCTTATTTTGATAGTCCCAGTTGATACAATAGAATGAGTATTATAGCGAGGAGTGGCGAGACGCTTAATGGCCCAGAAAGCCCATGCTGTATGTGCCAGAATGCTTGCACTCTGATCACATTATACACCCTTTTAAACCACTGTAGAATAAAGGCACGCCTAATAATCTGTTCTCCCTCTCTGTGTTGAACTGTTGATTCAGTGCAGTCTTTTTGTGGCATGAATACAGTGGTAGAGGTGGTTGAGTCAGTGTAAGCTCGTTGAGCTAGTTGTGGTGGCTCAGTGGTTAGGGCTTTGAGTTACAGATCAGAAGGCTGTGTGTTCAAATCCCAGCAGTGCCAAACTGCTATGGTTGGGTCCTTGAGTACGACCATTAACCTTCAGCTCAGTTGTATCCTGCATCAGCCAAATGTACTGGATTACATGTTTTTTTTATACATGTAAAATATTACAGTACGTTACTGTAAATATGTTTTATAGGTGTCTACTGTAAATTTTACAACAATTATTTACTGTGTCATTTATAATATGACTGTCACCCAGAAGAGCATGGGTTCTCTTTTGTGTCTCCTGAGGTTTGTCCTTGTCACTGTAACCTCTGGTTTGCTCATTAGGGATGTAAGTCTACAGCTGGATTTCTATAAAGCTGCTTTGTGACAATGTCTATTGTTAAACGCGCTTTACACATAAAGAAACTACTTGAACTGAATGTTCTTTTAAGATGCGTGGCCACTATACAGCTTTAGATGCTTCCCTTAGATGATCCACCCCCTCATCAGAAGGCAAATATCATGCCTCATCAGCGATATCTCTATTTAAAGCATTAGCCATTTTTGGAGTGCAACGGGAGCTCATTTTTGGTGTTGTGATTATCTGCTTGTAATTAAAGTGAAGTGTCTATGGGGATAACAGTTTTTTTTTTTCCTTCTCCAAGTCTCTAAGGCTGGGGGTAATGTGCTGTAAAACCACATGGAGGTGAAGTCCAGGGGTGATTGGCCTGCTTCAAAAATTATCTCTTTTATCTCTTTCCTTTTTTATTCAACTATTTTTTGTGTATTCACAAACCGGGTGTTGTCTTCTTCCACACAACCTCCAGCGCTGTTATCCTCGACACTCATGCATTCCCACCAATGGCAGAAACAATGGTCTGATCAGAGTAACTTCATCTGATCCCAGCAGGCTGGCGACCCCGTCATTGAAATACTCCATCAAGCAGATCGATAAAACACTGGGATAATGCCGAGCGTCTTGAGAATGTCTGTGTCCCTGCATTATTAAACACCTCAGACCAGGCCTCCTATCGTTAAAATGGAATAAAAATAAAGGGAAGAAAATGGGGGAAAAGTGTCGGTTGGAGAGAGAAAGAGGGAGAGGGAGCTTAATTGAAGCTTGATTACGGGCCCTTGGGAGGTTACAGTTTATTAATATGTCACTTCCAATAAAGACGCTTCAGCATTCGGATTTGCTGTCGCCTTGGAAACCGCGTTCATGTTTTTTTTCTTTCCTCCCTCGGGTGGAAGGAGAGGTTAGCGACACGGAGATTCCTCTGCCGAGGCTGATCTTTTATACTGCCCCATCTTTTTTCCTCTCATGTGAGGAATCGATGAAGCCCTTCTCCCTTTCCCTCCTCACTGTTCCCCAGTTGCCTGAGGAGAAGAAGTGCTTTGTGTTCATCTTTCATTATGGAAATGGATTTGGCACTGCTGCATCTCCTGCAAAATGGATTTGACAAGGAGCAGAGGTGCGGTTAAATATTTAGCATCAACACAACCGCATGAATGCTTATGGGTTCTGATGGCATCAGACCCCAAAAAAACTCATTAAGTTTGCTTGGAAGTAATATATTCTACTAGAAAGAAATGTGACATCCAGTGAGAAGTATTTGTTATTATGTAGTTTGGGTTGCATGACCACATTAGAAAAGGTACTTTTGTAAACTTATTTCCAATTTTGTTCTTGTGAGAAGGCTTTATTTCCCCTTCATTTTATTTCTTTCTGATGGATCTTCCTATTTATATGATACTTATTATTTTCCTTTACTTCCCTGTATTTTATATGCGATCCTTCATAACCTTCTTTTGTCACATGCTACACCTTAATTACAGATCTTGGATATAAGCACTGGAAATGTGAAGCTTAACTGTCTGAGCTAGATTTTTTTCTTTTTTCGGTTACCTGCAGAACATATTTAATACTGTACTATATTCTAAAATGCATATTTTAATATCTACTGCTGTATAAATGTGTTTTCACATCTTTAACTGTAGGAACTATATGCACATGACTTTATGCAATAAAATACCACTTCCACTCCAATTACCCCTTCTCATTTCCATGGCAGTATTGTAATATCAGAAATGTCACTCCTGACCTGTCTGGCTGACTACATTTGCATGCAGCCTAATAATTCATTCATAATTTGATTGATAGCTCAATCAAAAAATAAATAAATAAATAAATAAAATAAAAACATACGGTTCATGTACACAACTAAATCAGGAAAGGGTAAACCTGTTGAAGGCAATCCAAACGAAATTTCCATCCAACTGAATGAGGTGGATAATCTGTTTAATAAACCATTGGAGAGGAGAATAATCACCATGTTGACCTTAGAGTCCTTAGAGGGATGGGTGTCCAAATAATATTTCAAACCCAACTGAAGTGTGACAAATTTTTTTCCTTACCTTTTTCAGTAAGGACATTTGGGGTTGGTACGAGACGATGTCAATTAAATCTTGGTCAATTCTGTGGCAGCCTATGCAATATCAGTTATATTCATGTGTGCTGCAAGTCAGATTATACAATTAAGATTCTCTCAGAATATTCCTACCAGTGGTGGCTCGTCCATACGGGCAGGTGAGGCAAAGCCCCACCATATCAGCTGTTCAACAAATGTTAATCTTCATAAAGTCCTCATTCCCAACTCCATACATTTTAACTAGTATTGAAATACATATTACCTTTTTTGCATGACTGATGTTCCTTTGATTGACCTTTTTAATCATGTGGAACCGTGCTCACTGTCCAATTTAGCTCCACACAGTTATTATTGCACCAAGTGGACAAAAATAGGAATTGCAACAAGTGCTAATAGAGTCCTTTGGGGAAGGAATCATACTGCCCCATGCTTGCGTAATTCAGTTTCAGGAGAAAGGGAGCAGCAGACAGGATAGCTAATGACAGGATCATGGTTTTCACACAAAATCAGGGTACTCTGTGGCCGACAAGATTTATGTTTTATAGCAAGTAATTGGAATGAAAGCTAATACATTTCTGCAAACAAAGGCAAATTGTAAGTATAGACAGTGTCTATGATGTACAGAACCATTTCTGTTAGATATATTACATAGATTGGGAGAGGGAAAGGTGGGTTATGGAGTGATAATATTCATACATCATGTATGCGTGTCCACCACGAGGACTTTGCTTCGCATGCAAAGGCAAGAAAAAACATGTATATCCATTTGCCAATGCCTGAATTTTTTTTGGGCTAGTTTCAGGTCTTTTGTGTGGTTTTGGAAATGCCATTGGGCTGAAAATTTGCTGGCAACACTTGTTAATGATATTAGCGCTTCTGTTCCTTGCATACTGGTGACAGGAAACACACCTGCTGTATTGAGCAAAGTTGAACAAAGGTATGTCTAAAAGCATTCAAGCATCTAAAAACGCTTCAAAGCATTCAAATGTTGATCTTATCTGTAACTCGAACGTCTAAAAGCATGCAAAATAGACTGTATGCTGGATGACTGTATGCTGTTGACTCTCAACTTGGTTACTCTAAAAATTCACTAGATGGTAGCCTATTGCACAAGGCAAGTGTGATAGCCTCTCAACTGAATTGTGTTTGAGTTTGTCATTAATAATGTTGTCCTGCCCCACCAGAATCTCTGGTCATAAGTTGCTCCTGATTTCTGCTCTGCAATAAAGTCACAACATTCTGATATTGATGACTTTTTAGATGTGAGTCCTAGCACCGATCATATTCCAAGATTTTTTCCAACATCTTTGGTTGCAAAGGTGCTAAATTGGCGGCCAGTGTTAAGCGACCTGAGACTACTGATTTCAACACACAACCAATGAATTCTATAACCTTGTAAATAACCCTTAACATGCTGTGTGTTATACCATGTCAAATCTCTCAATCTTTGTATTGCTAATGCTAATACTTCATTGCACTTTTCATGTATTCAGGCATACATGTCACTGGCGATATCGGCAGTTCATTTAGACTCTGCAATCAGAATGAATTCATTTGATTTGATGAAAGCGGTAATATGTAAGCTTTTGTTGAGGTTTACACTAAAAGACTACCATCAGTGTGAAGAGGGAATTACTTCAGCCAAAGTGCAGCTTTATCTTTCATCTTGAGTGTACTTCTTCAGTCACCTCCCTTTTCTTCTCCTTCATGGGGTCAGTGTCAGTTCCAGGCCAGCATAATAGATCCCTGAAGAGCACCTTTTCAGGCTCGAGCAGTCAATCCACACACCGTTAACCTCTGTAAAATTGCCCTCGCAGCAGAACAGAGAATTGGCAAGATGTATTATTACTTTCTTCTTCTTTTGATGTGTGTACTGTAGTGTAAACTTGAACCTTTGCATTAACCCCAAAAAAGATGATTGAATAGGCATATGTTACATCAGGATGTACAGCTATAAATTTTATCGCAGTATAAATTTATTTTATCTCAGTACTTGAACCTATTAATACACAACCTACTGTATAACACATGTACTGTGTGTGCGCGTGTGCGCAAGTGTGTGTGCGTGTTAAGAAACAGTGTCCTCAGAATAAGAATAATTGTCATGTAATGTGAGAATTTCTAGCCTGTTAAAACATCTGCGTTGACTCAAAACAGGCAATATGTTTACTCTGGATTGTTGTAGCGTACTCACTGCCAGATGTCTCACTTGCATCTTCTTTACAGCAGATCTACTGGAATGTTTCAGAGGTGAGTTTCAAGTTTGACATTTCCGTCATGTTTATAGACACAGCACTCAATGCAAATTAGAGGTTGTGGCTTCCAACTTTGAAGTCCAGTGGGTTTCTATGCTCATTCTCTTATATAGGATCATGGTGCAACACATAACATTGCAGTAGCATGGTACACAGGGCTAAATGAAGTGCAAATAGACGACATTGTGAGATGAGTGCAAATATACTGGATATAAAATGTCTACACATCTCTGTTAAAATTGCAGATTTTTGTGATGTAAACGAGCTATACCTTTTAAAATCAAGATTAATCATGTCAGAAATTTTCCACCTTTAAAGTATGTGATACAGCAACCAACAAAATTAGAGTGAACTACGAATAAAAACGTTTTAGGAGAGAAAAAAATGT